ATGCGCGCCTTCAAATAGTGTCTACAAATGTGATTTCAGTACTAGAAATCTATATGATAACCTTAAATATATTTTCATTCTTAATTATAAAATTTAAAGCTTAAAAAATTGTCTATATCAAGATATTCATGAAAACTTGACAATCTTGAAAATTGGCAGTCCAAAAACGAGTTACAATATGCACTATTTCCAAACCTTTAAATCCATTTTTTTTTCTCATGTCCATGCATCTTGACATTAAGATGGTCAATTTGAGGATATTTGGGCATCAAAATAACTTCTTCTAAATAAATTTGTGAGGTCGGCTCTAATTTGATTGTTTGGAGCCTCAGCTTTATATAAATTTTTTCCTATAAGAGAGAGAGAGAGATTGTATACTCTGAGACCATTTATTATTGTTACAAGGAGGTCACAATCGCTTCTAACTATTAGCTCAAAAATTTTACAGCTTCAGATGTGCGACGAAGTTCAAATTTTTTTTTTTTGTGAAGATTGAGTCTAGTGTATGACGCACTTACAATCGCTCAATTTAAAATCTAACATATAGGAATGATTGTGACCTCTTTGTACTAAAAACAAATGGTTTCTTGTATACTTTTCCATATAGTACAAACCATAGCTCTCTCTTAAAAAGTCTTGGAAAAGATTTAAAACAAACCATAGGTTTCTCTTAAAAAGCGTTGGAAAAGATCTAAAACTGCAGTCATAAAGCTCACGTGGATAGAGGGTGGAGGCAGGTGAACGAACACTGCCCTTCTAATTTTTGGTGTGCAGTCTTAAAATTTGTTTAAGTAGCCAAATAGGTTTATCATGGTCGATATCCTATCATTAGTGAGATAATTTTAGAGTAAGCAATATCCTTACACTGCCTTAAATTATCATAGGAAGAGAATTTTAAGAAAGCAATCAAACTGCTCATTTTAGGATATTAAATAAGCATAAGAAAGCCTTATTGAGGGTATAAGCTTTAATAATGTAGAATGACAGACCAGTAGCTGACCCCATTTAATTGAAAAAAAAGGCTATAATGATGATGATGAGATAAACATCAATAAATGCTTAATAATAACTTAAAAGCATTATCCTTATCCTACCTCTAATAATCAAATTACTCAAAGCCCTAACATATATTAATTAGACTGATATAATTCCATATACTATTATAAAATTATGTACATTTGTTATAAGAAGGTGGCAATTAGCCCTAACTTTCAGAAGTGAAATTGGATATCTGGGGTATGCCACAAATTTAGAGACATTCTTTTGTTTAACTTTGAACCTGGTCAATAATGGCCCCCAACTGCCCGATTTCACATTTGATGGATAACGATGAATGCGATCTTGTTATATCAAAAGTAAATGGACTTATTGTATACTTTTGCTTCTTTCATTTTATTTGACTCACCCAGTCTCCTTGGAAATATAGTATGAAGTCTTGTATAAGAGTTGGTTGGATCACTATAGTAAATCGGTCGGTGGAGTTCATCTTATGATGATTTTCCGACTCAGAGCTTCGAGCTCTTGATATTAAGATAACTCCAGCAATTCTGAATCGACCCGGCAAATTTTCAATTACTTGTCTATGCTATGGCGACTCGCACCACGATACTCCCATCGTGACTATGTCAATAGAGTGGCAGGTATGTTCCACATATTTAATATTTCTATAAGAAAATCATACAACAGTTTTTAAAGAGAGAATTTGAGAAAGCAAACAAATGAACGTACATGGGTAAGATGTTTAAATAGTTTAGTTCTTAGATGTATTGTGATAAATTTCCCAAAAACCTAAAATATCCATCCAATCAGAGAGAGAATGAGACTTGACTTTGGGCCCTGCTCTCTTCTCTCTCTCTTTAGGTTTCCATCGGTCATCTTTCTGAAAAACTATGATTCTATGGATGATGAAGAGATGTTGGAATTCGGCATACCCTACTATTGTCTATCGAAAAGTTTAATTGTTTAGTTTGAAGCATAAATCAGAGAGGATTTTAGCCCTAGATTCTCTTGGATTTGGCCATAAACATATACACACAAACACATCCTGTAATTTTACGCATCCGACTTATAACAATAATAATATAATGAAATGAACTTTCAAAACTATGTTAAGAGTACTTGTTTGATTGGAATTTCCATACATATATTTTTCACTATGATAAATATTCTCAAATTGTTTTTGGAAAAGGTATCCTAAAATTATTTTTTTAGCCAAATGAACGTAAGTAGTTTATTTGATTGGACGATTTGGTCTAGACATTAGAGAGTATCCTTTATACTATTTTCGAATGGCCTTATTGACATTATGTGAACAATTTCAGAAAATTCTTTTTTGATTTGTGTTCTAGAAGGCCTAAATTTAATATCCACCAAATGGGCGGTCTCGATTCATTGTTGGGGTTGGACTCATCTTGATCTTTCTTAGGGTACAAACTTAATTTTTTACCTTTCAAAATTTAGGTTAATATAAAGAAAAAAGTTTATATAAGGTTGAACTTTAAATTGCAGAATTAAAGTGCATCTCAAAATTCCATCCAAAAAGGCTATTTGAAATTGGAAAACTATCTAATTCATCATCTCGACATGGAAATGTATGAATATGAATAAAAGAAAAAAAGAGATTTCTAGTCTAAAAAATAGTACATCTTATAACACATTATCCGACCTGTCCATTTTCAAGATTTTCATATGTTTATAGATTTACTTGATTTGAATCACTTTTTTATTTTAGAATTTTATAATTCGTTATGAAAATATATTCTAGAGCCATCCTAAAAATTTTCGATGCCAAAACTGCATCTTATAACATAATTTGGATGTGCACCTTACTTTAATTATTCAAAGGTCCAACCTTATCCAAACATCACCCCAATATAAAGGATGTGGTTAGCATGCGTGCCACAGACTCACATGTAGAAATGCAGGCCCCTTAATAATTTATTTTTTAAATAGAATTCGATCTTAATTTTTAGGAAATATATAATCTGTGTGATTGTATACAATGATACCATTTACTTTTGATACAAAGTGGTCACAATTTCGTACAACTATTTGATGTGAAATTTGATAGCTTGGATGTATCATAAAATTCCAGAAAATTTATTTTGAAGTTTGAGCTTGGTCAATAGAATAATTGCAGCCACCCAATTTCACATCCAACGGTCAAGATTATTGTGACCACCTTGTTTCAAAGGTAAATGGTCTCATTCTATATTTTCCCATAATCTTTAGCATAGAAATTATTAATTCATAAAAATAAATGAATTTCAAAAACTAAAAATGATATTTTTTTGGAGAAAATATTTGAACGGGTGATTATACTTTTTCTTTGGAAGACTATTACTTAAGGGAAATTGTTTGGCGGACAGTATAGATCTCCGGCTCGCATAGTAACCAGTGGTTGGCCGTACCAAACAATTTTTCTAATAAAAATGCCACAAATATAGTTTTTTAAAAGAGCAATTTCATTGTATTACAATGGAACTATGCATAAACCCATAAAAATCCTAAATCTGCCAAGTCCAATGGTTCAAGCCCGGGCCCGCCAGTCCAAACTCTTCTAAGCGCCCTGCCATACAACAGCACATCGATATATATGGAGATAATAAGACACAAGGAAAAGTATTTGGTGAGTTTGCCAACTTACACAGTCTCCTTACGAAATATATTTAAAAAAATAAATTTTCGATTCAAAATTTTATAGTTCAATAATCTCCACGAAAACAAATGATCTAAATTTAGAAATTTATGTTTTAAAAAATATAAATGTTATTTTTTTTAATCTCTTCACCATCCATTTTAATTTTTAGTGGATGTTGTGTTTTTTGCTATCCATTTTTATATTAAGGTGCTCACACTACAGAGTAATTTATCATTATACTCTACAAAATTTGAACATTTATATACCCTTGTTTTGTACATGAAGTTTTTTTAATAAATGTAATTTTGGTCATTAAAATGGTTGTGATGTCCTCTAGATGGTGCATGAAATCATCCTCATGGATCAATTAATATTTCTAGTATGCTTCATGTGGGTGATGTCACATCCATGTAGATAATGTCAAACTCCATTTAATATGTAAAAATAGCTTTATTATAAAAATAATCTATATATAAAACAATGGTACAGAATTATCCAAAATTTATTGAATACAATGATAAATTACTCTATAATATAAGTTATTTATATTATAAACACCCTAATATAACCCTTACAAAAAAAATAAAATAAAATAAAACAAGATGAAAAGACACAACACGAACGTTAAATATAAAAGGTACACAACATGATAATGGAAAAAACTCGCTTAGTAAAAAGAAAAAAATTAATTTTACATATTAAAGCATGCTAAAATATTACATGCTCACGCAGGAATATATCATCCATTCAGCCTCTTTTGTAAAATTATTTTTATAATTTAAGATTTTAGGGATGTTACCACCTCCACCGAGTCACTAAGCTGACAAAATATATTCTTAAATAAAACAAATAAATAATAATGCCTGACCTTTAAGCTGATCTCAAGAGTTCTAAGTGGGAAAATCTAAAAAGCCAAAAGATATTCTACTCCTTCGGTAGTATATGACCTATTTACTCCTTACTAAAACCCAACCTACAATTAATTTTAGAACCCCAACTCTTTAACACATAGATTAAACTAAAAAAAACAGTGCCTAATTGCACCCTCTAAACACTTAGAAAAAATAACGTTTCAAATTTGAATAGAAGCTGTTCAATCTTTAACGTGGTTACTAAAATTTCATATTGAAAAAAAAATTCTCCCAAATCACCTGACCGAGGGAGTAGAAATAAAACCATGCTAAGCCTCCTTAAGTACTCTTTTGTCCGGCTGGAGACACATGGTCTTGCTCCCGCGAGACTACACTGTAGGATCTTCCGTTGTATTTAATCGAGTTTCAAGACTCCAAACTCCCCAAAACCGTTGCAAATCAAAATTATATAAATTATTAAATTTCTGATCCTGCATTGTCGTTTTCTTTTTTGTGAAAAAAACCCAAGTAAAAAGGGCCTCAAAACCAGGAAGAGATGGCAGCCACGAATATCCGAGAGTGAGGGGAAAGGGTGTGAAAAATGGAGGATGGAGAGAGAGGAACGTGTTTCAAATCTGTCGATTCCGAAACAGAAAGCCCCCCAAAAGACTGGAAAACACAAGAACAAGAACAAGAGACAGAAAAGGAAGAAAAAGAGAGAGAAATAGGCAGAACCCATGTTTTGTTTTTCGGTTTAGGAAGCTGGGTCATCAAGCTTTTCTTGACTGAAGAAGAAGAGCGAGAAACACGAAGAACCCATTTTCCGTTTCTTGGTTTTGGGAACTGGGTCATTTTGCTTTCCTGGATTAAGAAAGAGAGAGAGAAAGAAGAAGAGAGAGAAACAGGAAGAACCCACGTTCTGTTTTTCTGGTTTGGGAACTGGGTCATTTCGCTTTCATTGATTGGGAGGACATATTGGTGAAATCCTGCCTCTTGGGGGTCGGTATGGATTAATTTGTTTAGATGGGTTGAGTTTAAAAGATGCCAATTTGGGTTCACATTCTTCAATGTAGGTTTTTCTTCGCCTCTGGATATGGAAATTCTGGTGATAAATTCATTGTCTGCTGAATTCAAGCTCCTCTGAGAACTAGAAATGGTATGCAACTTGGGCGGTTTTTCTTTTTTAGTTCTTCTCTTGTACGCTGTAAAAACAGTTTAATTAATGATTTTTTTGAACGTGTATAAAAGTTTGGATTTTGTGGGTGTTATTTTTAGCACTGAATGTGGTTTGTGTGAATTCTTAACCCCCCCTCCCGCCATGGTCAATTTCATTTAATTAAGGATTGTGGTTTAACGGTATTATCCTATGCTTTTACGCATTTTTGACTGGGAGGATATAAAAAATTCCAATGCTTTTTCATTTTTATATATAAAATATGCTGAGGTAATATGTTATAACTTTTGGCTACAAGCTACTATTAGATACAGTGGCATTATCTACATCTTGCAATTTTTCTCTTACTTTTGATGAACTTCAACTAGCATTAGGCGAAAGAGTTACACTCGAGGATATATGTAGTTTCAGTTGAGAAACTGAAGGTAGTTATCAAGCATTCTTTTAAAGACTCAATTGGATTTTCGTCAGTGACTTATATGTAAACCGAAGCAAGCTTTGGAATGTGTTTGAAGTCTCCATAATGCATTTGTCTCTTGCAAGTTGTTAGAGGTGATGTAAAGCACTCCTAAATTCTAATGCCTTTAAGGGTTCCAATGCTAAGAATTGCATAACTCTGTTGGCCAATTGCACATTCTTAAATCTCCATTCAGTTGTATCTTCATAGCATGAATTGATAATGTAAGGGTTGCAAATATAACTTTTAATATAGACGTTGATACCCTCTGTGGAATAGAAAATGGCTCTGCTTAGGTCTGGAGCATATGGAGTCTAGGATTGTTAACTAAATCTGCTTTGATACTTATTTAGGAGAGAGGAGCAAAAACAAAATAAAAGAAGCCTCTGCTACGCAGAGAGCTTCTGGCGTCTTTTGGGAAGGCCATCACCACATTTGGTTCTCTTAGACTATGCTGAAATGAAATGCTATAGACGACATCATAATTTTCCTCCATCACTTATGCAAGTCTTCATGAAATGGATGAATCCTTTTTGGCTCATTTGATTACATTCACTGAAATGCCTCCAGTAACCTATTGGGAGGAGAACACTAAGTTCACTGAAAGAGCCTTGTAGCCTTAACAGCTTTAGTTCCATGATCCCTGGCTATTGGGAGAAGACCAAAAGCTCAGTAAGATGAGCCACACTCTTAGCATATTTTCTACCAATAAACGTCTTCCAAAGTCCTTGTATGTGCACACTGAATCTCCAACATGATTTGCATAGCGACGCCTGGCTTATAATCCTTGTGCTTCTGATCCTCTGTCTGCCACTAGATTTATGCTTTCATACATTGTCCCATCTAACCAAATGGAATTGGCGAGAGTTGTTATTGCTTTGCTATGAGAATCCATGCTACTCTTATCGCTGCTACTGAGGTTGTGTTTTGAAGATAAAGGGTCAAATATTTAATAGCGTATCCAATTAGTTTCTAGGATACACAAAGTTCACGGAGCAGAATTTTCAAATTTTAGGGTGCCAACAAGACACATTTCAGGTATTTAATGATGATATTGGTGTGATCTGAATATAAATTTCATTTGTTTTCTCTATATAGGGAACCAATTCCATTCCTAGCTCAGATCAAAATTCATGGTTTGGATCCTTGACCTCTCTTGCTCAAAATTGGATGTCTACCTCGCAACCAAAGCCTTTGGTGCTATTGTGGCAAAATACAAACCACATGTTTCTGATATATTTTTTGATATATACTTTTTATTGGACTAATGCAAGTGAAGCTGTTATGATATTTGAAATCTGATTCTTATTAATCATGATGGGTTATAATCCTAGCACACACTAACGTAAATGCAAGTTTGGAGTTGTCCTTGTTCTTTCCATTTTAATTGGATTTCAATGTTTTAGTCCTATAGATACCATATATGATAGTCACATCTTGGTTGAATATTATCTACCCTAAGAATCCACTTCATCTTTTTTATTTAAAATATTGCAGGCTGTTCCAGTAAGCATTGTTGTTGGTTCCCATGTATGGGTTGAAGATCCAGCATTAGCTTGGGCTGATGGAAAAGTAACCCAAATAAATGGAGGAGATATCGAGATTCAAACCTCTAATGGGAAAATGGTAAGTACAATTTATTTATTGTTTTTTCTTCTCAATTATGTAATTGTTTTCCATGACCCATCAATGTAGCATGTGTACGTGCACATAGTTTGGATCCCTCTATCGTGGACTTTGTTTTGCTTAATTGCTATTCCTGCCCAATACACATGCACACATGCCATCCTCATTTTATCGATTTGACGGCCTGGTCGATTTAGAATGTTGTACATTTTTTTATTGTGCAGGTTGTCGCAAATTTGGCAAAAGTATACCCAAAGGATATGGAAGCTCCTCCAGGTGGAGTGGATGACATGACAAAGCTGTCCTATCTCCATGAGCCTGGAGTTTTGAAAAACTTGTCTACTAGATATGAACTCAATGAAATATATGTAAGCATAAGTTTAACTTTGGTTTTTCCTTTTCTTGGTTCAATATACATTGGAACTGTGCTGTATACTCACAGTCTCAATAAAGGATTGCAAGTTCAGAGGTAAAGTATATGGGACTCATATGCTAATACTGTGGCAGACGTACACTGGAAGTATTTTGATTGCAATAAATCCATTTCAAAGACTTCCCCACTTGTATGAAGCTCACATGATGGAGCAATATAAAGGGGCACCATTTGGAGAGCTAAGTCCTCACGTTTTTGCTGTTGCCGATGTCGCATACAGGTAGTGTAGGCTCGGTTTCTTTCCTCATGTTTCAGAGTTCCATTTCTCATCTTCTTCTTCTGATTATTCTTCGTCGTCTTTCCTTTGCTGATGGGCATTTCAGTGTTTATTGTCCTCATGGATATATCATGTATCGACAGGGCTATGATAAATGAAGGAAAAAGTAACTCAATTTTGGTCAGTGGAGAAAGTGGTGCTGGTAAAACTGAAACCACAAAGATGCTTATGCGATATCTTGCTTATATGGGTGGTCGAACGGGGACTGAAGGAAGGACAGTTGAACAGCAAGTTCTAGAAGTAAGATTATTGAAATATTTTTTTACTGAAAATTAGTGCCATGTCCTGAGAATTTCTTTTTCTATTTTTCTCCAGTTGTTCTTCCTGTTCCCATCTGTAGTCATACTGACTTTGGCTTTACCTTTTATCATTTCCATGATGTTGTGGTAGTCCAATCCAGTTCTTGAAGCATTTGGCAATGCAAAAACCGTTAGAAATAACAACTCCAGGTGAGTCATGATTCTAAATTTTAGTAGTGTTGATTCTTTGCTTTCTATTTTAGTTATTCAATGAATTACATAGTATTTATGCAAATTGTTTAAAACCTGCTTGAGATAATATGACTGAAATCATTTAGTTTTGAGGAACAACATAACTTTCCTTCAAGATGACAAGATGATACCCCACAAAGCCTGCAATTTAGGCTGTTCATTTATCTCATGATCATTATGTTTTCTTTTGTCAAATCTTCATATTTGGGATGTCTGCAGTCATAAAATCCCTAAGTAGGGAAGTGTGTAGTATTTGCATAATGGTTAATATTTCTTTGGCAATTACTAATAAAAACATTATGATTTTTGCACCTCCTGTTTTTGGTAGTCTGGATCATAATGATATTATTTTTTTATGAATAACAGTCGCTTTGGTAAATTTGTGGAGATCCAATTTGACAAGAGTGGGCGGATATCTGGGGCAGCTATCAGAACGTATCTTCTTGAGAGATCTCGTGTTTGCCAAATTTCAGATCCTGAACGAAACTACCATTGCTTTTACCTCCTTTGTGCAGCACCACCAGAGGTCGTTATTATTTTTAATGATACCTTCCAACTACTGGAATTTGTTAGTTTAGTGGTTGATTTTCTACATTTCCCTTCTTTTAATTTACGATACATATGCTTGCTGAATTGGACAGGACACTGAAAAGTATAAGTTGGGAAACCCTAAATCATTCCATTATCTGAACCAATCTAACTGCTATGACCTGGCTGGTGTGAGTGATGCCCATGAATATCTGGCCACCAGGAGAGCCATGGATATTGTTGGAATTAGCCAGCAAGAACAGGTGGTACTCTTTATTTTGCTTTTCGAGAACTTGCTTCTGTAATATTTCTGAAGACAAGTGGGATTTTAATCTTTTCTTCACAGTGAATTTTCTAATACTATTCTTTCTTGCCAGGATGCGATTTTCAGAGTTATTGCAGCCATTCTTCACCTTGGCAATATTGATTTTGCCAAGGGTGAGGAAATAGATTCATCTGTTCTTAAAGATGACAAATCTAGGTTTCATCTCAAAATGACAGCTGAATTGCTCATGTATGCCTCATTGCATCACTCTTTGCTTTTCCATCATTACTTGGACATATGGCCATATGATTACATTACCACAATATTTCTTTGTGATTTCAGGTGTGACGCTCAGGCTTTGGAGGATGCATTGTGCAAGCGCGTGATGATAACTCCTGAGGAAGTTATTACACGAACTCTTGATCCTCTTGGTGCAACTGTTAGCAGAGATGGTCTAGCCAAGACTATATATTCTCGCTTATTTGATTGGTATGGTGCTGCTAATTTGCTCCATCATTTTTTTGTTCTTTTTGTTTATATATCGTCATCATCATAGCCTTTTCCCAATTAATTGGGGTTGGCTCTTTTTGTTTATATATATATATATATATATTGATTTATTATTTTACTTTCTTTATTCTTTGAAAATACCCTGTCTAACTACTTCTAGGTTGCGAATTCCAAAAGCATGATAGCAACAGATTGCATGATGAAGGAAAACTATGAATATTGTTGTTTCAGGCTGGTCGACAAAATTAATGTCTCAATTGGGCAAGATCAAAACTCAAAATCTCTGATTGGGGTTCTTGATATATATGGTTTTGAGAGCTTTAAGACCAATAGGTAAGTTATGAAACTCATTGGGACGGACCTCTTTGTTGCCCTTTCTCCTAATTTTGGATCTTGGTGTTCTATGTAGTGACTTTGAATTATTAATTTCATCTTGATCAGTTTTGAGCAATTCTGCATTAACTTCACAAATGAGAAACTTCAGCAACACTTCAATCAGGTGAGGGTAACTTTTCCTGCAAGTAGATTATGGGATAATATATGGCTTATGAAAAGCTCCTAATGGGTTCTACCATAATGTCCAAATCAAATTGGCAGCATGTGTTTAAGATGGAGCAGGAAGAGTACACGAAAGAAGAAATCGACTGGAGTTACATAGAATTTGTTGATAATCAGGATGTGCTAGACCTAATCGAGAAGGTTCAGTTTTTTCCAAACCTCTTTAATTTGAATTGGCATAAATATTTTCGACACTAGCTGCTGTCACTATCCAAATCTTTTAATTGTATCGTATTCTTTGCAGAAACCTGGAGGTATTATTGCTCTCCTCGATGAAGCTTGGTATGCTTATTCTTTGATACTTAGTCTATGTTATTGATGCTTCCTTGAGCACTAGGCTACTATTCTTCAGGATATATAGGCGATGGTTTTCCTTGTGGGATGGGCTTTGATTACATTTTTGTTTGGATACGCTTACTATAAATTTTGATGATGCCCTGATTTTCTGTTGAATTGTATTTTGTTTTCTTCCAGTATGTTTCCGAAGTCAACACATGAAACATTTTCTCAGAAGCTCTACCAGACGTTCAAACCTCACAAACGCTTCATTAAGCCAAAACTTTCTCGTACAGATTTCACCATTGCTCATTATGCAGGAGAGGTATGCCAGTGCAAATCTACTGCTTCAAGGATCTTATCATGATTAGTGATTCTAACTTCACTGGTTTTTTTAATTTACCTTGATACGCTACAGGTTTTGTATCAATCTGACCTGTTTTTGGACAAAAACAAAGATTATGTGGTGGCAGAGCATCAAGATTTGTTGAGTGCTTCCAAATGCCCCTTCGTGGCTGGCCTGTTCCTTCCACTTCCTGAGGAGACATCCAAATCATCTAAATTCTCATCGATTGGTTCTCGTTTTAAGGTCTGATAGCCCTTGCATTCAGTTTCCAGTAATACCTCGTTGTGTTTGTAACTGAATCATAAACTGCTGATAGTGTTTGTGGTTTTGTTGATGCAGCTACAACTGCAATCCCTAATGGAGATTCTAAATTCAACAGAGCCTCATTACATTAGATGTGTGAAGCCAAACAATCTTCTTAAACCCTCTATATTCGAAAATGTGAACATCCTTCAACAATTGCGATGTGGGGTGAGAAAATATATATAAATGGTTTAGATTTTTTATTATTCACTAGTCATTTAGTCAGTCAGATAAAAATTTAGACACTCATTTTGGTTTTGTAGGGTGTTCTTGAGGCAATTAGAATTAGTTGTGCTGGCTACCCAACTAGGAGGACATTTTACGAATTTCTGCACCGCTTTGGCCTTCTTGCCCCTGATGTCCTGGATGGGAAGTATGTCGTTTCTTGTAGTGAATAGTACTTTTTTTGGGTTTTTTTTTAATTTAAATGGGCTTGGGTCAAGACGGTAGCAGCTGGGTTTTCATAGCACTACATCATTCCTATGTAACCTTGTAAAACATAAATAAAAATAAAAATTGTGAGAGTCAGTAATATATGATGGTCCTTTTACAGCTATGATGAGAAGACTGCATGCAAGAAGATTATAGAAAAGAAGGGGTTGAAAGGGTTCCAGGTACATTTTCTGGTTTACTATTTTAGATTTGGCTCACACCTTTGATCTTTTAGATAGTAAGTCACTTATCATGGAAATGCTGTGGACATCCCCTTATCAAATGATTCTAGAAATACTTTCTCCAAAAAACATTTGATACTTTTGTCACATCAAATGCATCAATGTTGGACTTCTCGCATTCTGTCTTTTATTTATGGATAATCAAGTTTATTTTTTTATGCAAAGAGATGATTATGCTTTCAATCTTAAGATTTACTTTGAATGATTATATAAGGAGATCTTAGGATTATGCTTTCCATATGATTTACAGATTGGGAAAACAAAGGTCTTCCTAAGAGCAGGCCAGATGGCTGAGTTAGATGCCCGTAGAGCTGAGGTACTCAATAATGCAGCTAAAACTATTCAGCGCCAGATTCAAACACATATTGCTCGGAAGCAATTCATTGCTTTGCGGAAGGCTTCCATCCATGTGCAATCACTGTGGCGAGGTCTGTTCTTGATGTGTTCAAAGAATAAATGCTCTTCTTAACACACACATACACATGCACACAAGAAATATATACTTACATATGGTTTCTTCATGCTCCCATTAATATTAGGATTTTGATCTCCCCATCAGTGGCAAGCTTCCTGCCTCATTTTTCTTTCTTTGTGATTTTTTTACTTCCACTTGACTTTTGGCCTGAATCGTAGGGATTTTGGCCTGCAAATTATACGAACACATGAGAAGGGAAGCAGCTGCGGTGAAAATTCAAAAGAACTTGCGTAGATATGTGGTGAAGAAGACTTACATAAGATTACGATTATTGGCAATTGTTCTGCAGAGAGGATTAAGGGGGATGGCTGCTCGCAATGAATTTAGGTTTAGGAAACAAACTAGGGCATCAATCATTATCCAGGTCGGTACCTTGATTCTTATAGTTGTGAACAGACTTGTCTATATCCTCCCAATTAGCTGCCAGTCAGTTGATCATTACTTGAAAATGATATTTCCAGGCAAAATGGCGCTGCTACAGAGCTCATAGATATTATAAGGAGTTAAAGCAGTCAGCAATTGTTTCTCAGTGTGGTTGGAGGAGAAGGATTGCAAGGAGAGAACTTAGAACACTTAAAATGGTTAGTATCGCTCATGACATCTATCAACATTGATGAGTTGTCCATATCACAGGAATCCTAATGATTCATATGATGCCATCGATTATTACAACTTAGATAACGTGTTATACAATTATGTGTTTATGGGCCTCTTTGGGGAATCTAAATATCCATGATTTGGCCCAGGCTGCAAGAGAAACAGGTGCACTCAAAGAAGCTAAGGATAAGCTCGAAAAAAGGGTGGAAGAACTCACATGGCGCTTGCAGTTAGAAAAGCGATTAAGGGTAAAGTTAGATCCTATGAACTTCCTATAAAGAAGCCAAGTCATCATTGTTCATGGGTATTTGAGTACTCCTATCATTGCACTTTCATTGTTGCAGTCCACAATTAGTGCCCAAAAGAATATGAACAATGTGGCGATTATAATCTTTATTAATATAATCTTTAACTGTGCAGACAGATTTGGAGGAAGCAAAAGCACAAGAAATTGCAAAATTGCAAGCTTCTTTGCAGGGTTTGCAAACTAAAGTAGATGAAACAAATGCATTGCTTGTCAAGGAAAGAGAGGCTGCTAGAAAAGCTATAGAGGAAGCCCCTCCTGTTATTAAAGAAACCCCAGTTATTGTTCAGGATACAAAGAAGATCGAGTCTTTAACTGCTGAGGTGGATAAATTGAAGGTAGGGAGTTATATTGCATACCTAAACGGTTATTTTCAATGCGGACATCTGATATCATACATGTTGCTTATGATTGCAGTCAATTCTTGTTATCGTATGCAATAAAATTCCCAGGGTCCTATATGGTCCAATTCATTATATATATATATATATATGGAAAAAGTTTGGGTGAGCCCACTAGCTCATGGAATAGTATAAGCCCAACGGCCCAGATTGAATCTGAGCCGATTTGACAAACACAGATGTCTAGTAGTGTTTAAATTTTAATTTTTTTTCTACAAATCCAAATCACTTGAAATTTGAGGCGTATGTTCTTCTCATCAGGCCGCACCTAAATAAAATATAAAAAAAATAATTCGTGAAAACAATTTGAGCAAAATACCCCCGAAACCTTTCGGGGGTATTTTGATCAATTTATTTCATGTAAAATATGTTTTTGATATTTTTTGAATATTCACCTATTTTTTATGTACACACGCTCCAAATTTCAAGTAATTTGGATTTGTAAAAAAAAAAATTAAAATTCAAACACTACCGGACATCCGTGATCGTCAGATCGGCTCAGATTCAATCTGGGCAGTTGGGCTCATTTTTTCCTGCGAGCTAGTGAGGTCACCCTAGCATCTTCCTATATATAGGAAAAGTCTTCCCAACGCCTATATATAGGAAAAGTCTTCCCAACGCCTATAGGCGAAAGTGAACAGTGATTTCGCTTATCCTCTTCATCGTCCAAAGTTCATCGCACAGTCACGATTGTCCGGTAGTGTTTCAATTTTCATTTTTTTTCTACAAATCGGAATGATCTGAAATTTGGAGTGTGTACATCTTAGTGAGGAGCACCTAATAAAAAAAAATTTCATGTAAAATATTTTTTTGATATTTTTCATAGATTTGCCTATTTTTTTTGGACACGCTCCAAATTTCAGGTCATTCCGATTTGTAGAAAAAAAAAATGAAACACTATCAGACTACTGTGACTTTGTGATGAACTTTAGACGGTGATGAGCATAGGCGAAATCACTATTCATTTTCGCCTATAGGCATTGCGTAGTATTTTTCATATATATATATAT